AAAAAGGCACACAACTTGCAACTATTATTCCTACTCTTTATTTGAACGTTTCGGCACTTCGGCCTTCTTCAGCAAACTCATATATATATATATTGAAAGTTGCAGAATGTTTTGGTTAGGTGTATATATATATGATTTACAGTAATTGGAAAACACGCTTACAATGCAAGATGCAGGGTTAAGTGCCAAAGAGATTAGTGGACCAACAATTCCATCATTTCCTTTTGAGCACAAAACAGAAGCAAGGTGAACAACTATCTCTACCAAACTTGTGTCCCAGGCACTGTGACCAGCCAGACCGAAAACACTAGCGATGGTACGAGTGTCTTGGTGTTCCTCGGTAATCAAGTCTTGGGCTAGATGTTTGGACTGATCCATAACACAGAGAAACAGATTAATAAATATACTTATTAGGAACTGCGAGTTCAAAACTGACATTACCCAATCATTTAACGATGTTGATTCCTGAATAAAAGAACTCAAATTTTTCTTCACCTGAATTGTAAAAATTGAAAAAACAAAAATTAAAAAGGAATATTGGAAAATTATAATAATCAAAATTTTTGCTCATACAGTGCAAGCTCTATATTAAGGTGTCAGGGGACCTTCGCGACCAATGGTCAATTAACTTCTCGTATAACGCTAACTCGAAAGATATACATTTACTAAAAGCTGAATATATGGAGATTGTAACTATGTGATTTGTTTTGGATAAAAACGAATCAATTTTTTTGAGTGGATATTTTATGATTTTTGAACAGTCATTTTTAAGAAATTCCAGGATTTCATTGTGCTAATAAACTGTTACCACCTTCGTTAGAGCACAGTTTGATCTCTAAAAAGGTGTTTCATTTTTTTGGATTAACGCGTTTGTTGCGGAAATATCCACTTTCAAAGTGGAAAAACGTAATTTTTAGCTATTTTTATACAAAATTTGCTATAACTTCAAAACGCAACAAAATATAAAAAAATGAGACACCTTTTTTGACATGAGGTATACATCGACAAATCCTCAAAGTTTAAGCGAATTTTTTAAAAATCCGTTGTCCCAGGAACGTTTTCAAAAAGAGCAGTCAAAAGTTTTAAAACACAAACGCGAAAAAATAAATAGCACAAATCCAAAACCAAATTGCACAGTCTTGCTCCCCTTATTTTCTTCTTTAAGAAAAAATATATTTTTATAGTCATAGCTTGAATAGTTAACTTCCTATGAAGAATTAAGTGAGATCAGTCGCGAAGGTCATGTGGCATACTGCTGTGTTATTAACATATAAGCTTATATATTACATATTTTTTGTTAAACGTTTTAAAGTTTTGAATGTTTGCTACCCACCACGTCCGGTATGGGCACACCTGGATTTGCAGTGATTTCTTGGAATAGACCCAACAGCAAAACCACGTTCTTTGATGTCATATTAAGTGTCATGCCCTGTAAGCACAGAATATAAAGATTTTATTTCCATAACGTTTTCATGGGTTTCAATCAATTTGCGTCATTTCCTGCACCAGGCGAGGCGAGGTGAGGTGACCTACCTGCTGGATGTCTTCAACATCCTTCATATCTCCTGTTATAATCGATCTTGCTAATGTTTCTCGCAGAGATTGATATTCGCGTCCATAAGCAAGAAATCTGTCTTGGCTGACCTACAAAACCACACGTTTTCAAACACATGAAGGAACGAGCGAAGAGGAATGAAGCAAACAAGCGAGAAATATCTGCCGTACGACTTCCATATATGGCAGTACACGGCACTGAACAGAGAAGCACAGAAAAGCCATCAATGGGATTTGCTAATTGATGAAAAATAACAACTGATTTATACTGTAAGATTTGCTCTATTTGATCTCCATTTCTAAGCAAGGTGAAACCAATAAGCCATAGCCTCATGGTCATGCAATCTGCCTTCGACAATCGCTTTTTTGAAATAGGTTCATCTCAGAGCCCGGTATATGTACATCCATATATCGCATTCTTGGAAGTCGTCTGACAGATTCTACTCAAACAGGTTATCAGAATAGGAAGTTTTTACCTCGAAAGTCTCCGAGCCTTCCTGAGGCAAGATCCAACCAAACTTTTTAGCGACAAGACCAATAGACTCGAACCCATATCTCCTGGATAACTGCTTAAGGAAGAATAATCTAGGCCTTGTATATGTAGCATTACAGAAGACCTTCTGCAATTCATTAAAAATGCTTTGCAAGGCACGTTGTACAGTTGGAACCTGCATTTCCTGACTCTCATTGACAAACTGGTACATAAGGCCAGCGGTAAGCGACAGGGAAAGACGTATGAGAGCAACCCCTTCCAGCCAATCAACATTTAGTTTGGTACTTTGTGGATTCGATAAAATTGAGCAAGCCTTCTTGCAATACCTATCTATCAGAGAAGCATTCTGTTCCAGTGGAAGTTCACTTGCTCTTTTAGAAAGCTTGCTGCTCAGAGCATCCTAGAAAAAAGAGCGTTAAAGAACTTTTTTGATAAAAAAACCCTATTATATGAGTGAATCCGCTGTTCTAGCCAAAGTTCTGCAGTTTCTTTATCGATAAGCAATAGACCTAATCGGCTAACGCTATGTACGTAATTCAAATCCTGTGGGAAAAAGAACTTTTGTTGTTAAAAGTTCAAATGTTAAATAAAAATACAACGAGCAATGAAACGTACTCCCGAGTGGTTTGAATTGGGTTGATATAAGGACCTGTTTACATGAGATTGGGTGCTTCTAGGTGGTAGAGCCAAACCCTTGTGTCTTAAATCCTCCATGAAACACAAAACAGAAACGTTTGGCTCTAATAGCTAGGGACATCCCCATTCATTTAAACAGGGCCTAATCCGATTTCTCTGTAGGATAGCACTTCTGTAAACAATATCAAAATATGACAAGTTGTAAGTGTCAAGAGCAAATATAGTAATACATGACGACAATGTAAATCCCAGTGGTTATCAAAGAATCGTAGATGTTAGGCATACACGAAATTTTAGAATTGCAATTCTTAGTGTACATCTTTTTCACCAGAAACTGGGAATCAGTCAAACTCGAAAGTGTTCACTTCTACCCTGATCCAATACGTTTATCTCACCTCCATACACTGAACACACATAACAAGGACTTCTACAGCAACCAACTCCACTTGCACCAAGTCTTGTGCTCGCTGAATAAATTGTGTCATGTACTCTTTAACTTTCTGGTCACTGAAAATATCACGAATATATAAGGTCTTATTGCAGGTTTGAACCAAAGATTTACAGTAAGTCAAGCGTATTGTACATATCATTACCAAATATAGCTATGCATTTGTAAAGCAGCAGGAATGTTCGAAACACACCTTTACCATAATGGCCGCCATATAGTTAACGTGAATTTTTAAATTTCGAATTTTAGTAAAAGTAAACTGACAGCTGATAGGAACCTGTGCTAATAACAAAATATAAAAGTTTGAAATGAAAATATTAAATTCTGGTGAAGTTGTAAGGATTTAAAATATATCATAACACCAGAACGAGGCTATAAAGGCCTTGGCTTTCTTTGTATTTTCATTTCGCCATAAATTTGTTCGCATTTTATCCAGGGCTGTAAAACTTTYCAAAAATGTTTATTTCTGGTAGTTCATTCACATGACAGTGACAAAGTTTTCACATATTTCATATTCAGAAACAAATTACCCGTTCTGAAATTTAAAAAGGGACTGGTGACTAGTCACAAACTCGATACTTTTTGAAGCAATCAAAAAATAGACACCAGGACAAGAAAGAGCATACTAAAATTAGTAAAGCTGTTGAGTTTGAGTGTATTCGGATTAATAAGTACAGAGTTTTAAGCGTTTAAAAGTCGAAAATATTGCAAAAACATGATGGAGGTTTTGAGCAGCGTCCCCAAAAACCATATATTCTCTCCTATTTTTACAAATTTGAAAAAAATCCTACACGGTGAGTATTCAACCAAATATGTTCAAACTTGACAAGAACACTAATTGTAGTGCGGTTTTTCATGTGGTGAGGTTCAGTTTTCGATGAATGTAATATTTTCATACTCGTTCCCATTCTCCTTTTGAATTTCGGAATGGCAAATAGACAGACAGCCATTGGTGGAAAATTACATACATTTCTTTGTATTTTCATTTCATCGTAATTTTTTTCCTATTTTTTCCAGAGTTCGTATTTTCCGCTTTCACAAATGTTATATTTTTTCCAAGTAGCCTTCTTTTAATATAAAAAGTTTGAAATGAAAAAATCAAATTCTGGTGAAGTTATAAGGATTTAAATATATCATAACACCAGAACGAAGCTATAAAGGCCTTGGCTGAAGAATTACATCACATTTCTTTGTATTTTCATTTCGCCATAAATTTGTTCGCACTTTATCCAGGGCTGTAAAACTTTCCAAAAATATTTATTTCTGGTAGTTCATTCACATGGGAGTGACAAAGTTTTAACATATTTCATATTCAGAAACAAATAGACAGACAGCCATGGGTGGAAATTACATACATTTCTTTGTATTTTCAATTCACCATAACTTTTTTCCTATTTTGTCCCGAGTTCAAAAACGTTCCAAAAACGTTTATTTCTGATAGTTCTTTGGTGTCACAGTGACATCTATCTTATTGACATCTATCTTATTTTGGAAAAACACAAATGCAGCCTTTATGGTAAAGGTGTTACCCTGGTCCCAGAGGTTTGATATTTTCTCTCTTCGATATTGTTTTTGTCGGTGCAAAGCGCCGTAATCGAGGTCGTAAGACCTAGCGAAAATCAAAAAATCGGTTTTCGCTAGGCCTTACGGCCTCGATTACGGCGCTTCGCGCCGACAAAAACAATATCGAAGAGAGAAAATATCAAACCTCTGGGACCCGGGTATAAAGGTGTATAAGAAATATGCGAACTTCCTCAGAAACAAACAAAAATACAAACAATCAATGAACGAAACGATGAGAGAAATGAATAGTTGACAATCTTAGTGAATGAATGAAACCTTAGATGACTGAAATACATGAAATCTTCAACGGGACCTGTTGACCAACATTGTATATCAGCTATCAGTTTGAATCCTGCTGCAGAATACAGGAAAATTACCTTGACTTGAGAAGCTGCTGCAAAAGGAATGATCTAACAACTGGAGTTACATCCATTGCATCCCTGAAGGGAGAGAAACGTTTGGTTCTGTCCCCTTGTTGTCCAGTAACATAGCTCATCAAGAGATTGTACGTATCTTCTCCCAGWWCACCACAAGGYGAGTACCCAAAACAAAACAATGACACCACTTCCATGAAGTACGAATTACACTGATCTCGGAAATTGCTGATGGTATCAATTGCGCCCCTGTTGCAAACAAAGGTTTAAGAGAGGTAGTCAGCAAAAATCAGACACTTTTTGCAAATTCGTGGCAAGGGTTGAAAAACTGAAACAGCCCATATTTTAACCATAGAATGCTGTGTAGTTTGTTTGCTGAAATACGACTTAGTTTTCGAGAAAATCGAGAAAGATGGTTGTTGACACAAATATGCAAATTTCACGCCGATAATCTGCTTCGAATTAAAGAACTCACAGTATCTACACTATAATAGCTAGAACTTTGGAAATCTCAGGAAAAGATTATTATCATCTTAAAACTCAAATTGCAAAGTTTTAGAAAGTTTGATAAAATATTTCGATTTCTGCTGATTTTATTCTCGAGAGATGTAAAAATGCTCTTTGAAAGTATGCACAAATCATTTTCTATTTGCTATATAATATTTTCAAACAAAAAGCATATCAAAATACTTTAGAAAGAGTGAATTTTCGATTCAGTTGAAATTTGCTTGGGGAAATTATTTTGGGTGTAGATCCACGAACCGAAAGTAAGACGAAATCGGCATATTTTTCTAACGGCGAGACGAATAAATTTGCATATTATGTACTTATTAGTCAAAAAAGTTACTTGTTTTGAGCTTTAAAAACGAAAAATGTTCTTCAAGACATAAAAAGTCCTCCTACAATCATTCTAAAAGTATTTTGGCTATTGCAATCCATTTTTTGTTTTTGTGCAATCTCTATGTGATAGCCACGTAAACACGTATTATGTATTATGTATTAGAGTACAAACACTAAATCTGTGCAACATAAATACCACTATACTGCTAAATTATGCTAATTCTATTGTTTTCTATTGTTTAATTAACACTATTTTGTAGTAAATAGTGGAAAGTATTGCACACATTTTAAAATGTTTGTACTCTATGTATACATTGTTATCAAACTCATTAATAATTCATAATGTCATTATCCAATGATATACTGAGAATCTAATCACGTGATTATAGCGGAGCTCCCGCGACGGCCGAAGGCCCGCGCGAGCGGAGCACCATAGCTAAGAAAAAATGGTATATCCATCGAGTCGATTTTCCATGGACCGACACAGGGTTCCCGCGCGTACGCACGTTTCCTTCCATCCGTCCTTCCGTCCTTCCTTCCTGGATTCCGTATACCACCACAGGAAACCCATACTCCGCTCGAAAAGGAAACAAAGCGCCAAGTATTTGTTGAAAAATCGAAAATTTTTCATTAAACATTTATATTACATATTGATAATATTAGAACAATTAATCACAAGGAAGAAATCCACTGAAGAGCGAAATAACAGCACAGAAATATTCCCGCCAATTTTGTCATAACTTCGACGCGTCCGCACATCCGGGAAATCGATTTGCGAAGATGAAAAGCAATTTAGGCCCATCTTAAAAGTGATATTAGAAAAAAGGATTTTACTTTGATATTTCGACAACAAGAAAGAGATGATACTTTATTGGAAATACTTCAATAATATGGACCAATATGGGAAAAAGCAGGGATCTATGCGAAGTTCTTTTGTCGACTAAAAGTGTGGACATTTCGAAACCAAGACCATGCTAGCAGTTAGATTGAGAGAGATTAAAAACAAAGAATATACAGTTTTCTGTATACATCGATTATTGAAACAATGTTGATTATTGTAAGCTTATGTAGACTACTTTTTGCCGAGAAGCTTTCAGTTTACTTTTAATCAATTGACCTTTATAGATTATAATTTTAAACTTCATCCAACGGAACAAAATCTACCGAAGTCTGTTAATATCACTACGAACTACGAATTCAATCACTACGAATCACTACGAATTCTCATAAGCATACTCTTTATAATATTTGTTCGCATGTCAACAAAACTGTTGTAGCTCACATTCCTTAGAACAGAGCATCTACCTTTGAAATAGCAGTACTAGATAATCATTTTCAGCTTCTATATTGCTATTGGAGCTCCGCTATTAGGTGTTACCTAATTTTTATATTACTTTTATATTGGATATAAGGTGCAGCAACCTCAAAGTTGGGGGCGGCTTTGAATATTTTCAGGGAAGTGCGGGGCTGATTATTATTCAACGTTTTCCTGATACATACCTAATTAATAAAACATTAGTTCTGTATCAATGATATAAAAAAAACTCGCGTGCAATCAAACACAAAAAATCAATGTTGAAGTAATGTTTCGTTTCCTCGCAGTTTACTCGTCGGATAAGCTTCGCCGTTTTCTTCGCGCCCCATCTTGTATGAATTTCACCATCCAAAAAATCAACGACTCGGCGTTCATGCATGTCTTTAAGATTAGTGTCAGCATCTTGGAATGACTCGCTGTTTTTGAAAACTGAATCTGATGCTCCCATTTATGGCTTTCTTGTTCGCACAGTCTTTTTGCTAGTCGCATTTTGCAGAATATTTGTGGAACACTCGCCTGAACACTCGACTCCACATGTCTTCGAGGGAGAAATGGAAGCCAACTGATTTAATTTTTGCTAACTATGAATGCCTAATATCTTGCAATTCCTTTGACAATTCTAATTTTCCATAGTTTGTATCGGGGCTAAAGCCTTCGGCTCTGATCTTTATCACCCGATACAACACGCTCTCTCGTTCTGTATACATTACATAAAGGTCTCCCGCTCATATTTTATACATTACAAATTGATCTGCAGTTTATACTTGTATTACAGGAAAAGGACTGAGTCAAACCTGGATAAATGCTTTTCCCATAAATCGGGAACTAAAATAAAAAGAAACACATGATTTCCGTATTTTCTTTAAGAAAATGATAAGCTTTTTAACAATATTTCGCCGGGGTTCAATATGACAACTTATTTCAATGTAATACATGTCATTGTGTTTACGTGGCTATCACATAGAGATTGCACAAAAACATTATAACTTGATTGCAATAGCCAAATTACTTTTTAGAATGATTGTAAGAGGACTTTTTATGTCTTGAAGAACATTTTTCGTTTTTAAAGCTCAAAACAAGTAACTCTCTTGAAGTACATAATATGCAAATTTATTCGTCTCGCCGTTAGAAAAATATGCCGATTTCGTCTTACTTTCGGTTCGTGGATCTACACCCAAAATAATTTCCCCAAGCAAATTTCAACTGAATCGAAAAGTCCACTCTTTCTAAAGTAGTATTTTGATATGCTTTTTGTTTGAAAATATTATATAGCAAATAGAAAATTGTGCATACTTTCAAAGAGCATTAATTTTTTACATCTCTCGAGAATAAAATCAGCAGAAATCGAAATATTTTATCAAACTTTCTAAAACTTTGCAATTTGAGTTTTAAGATAATAATAATCTTTTCCTGAGATTTCCAAAGTTCTAGCTATTATATAGCCTATAGAGATACGTACTTTCCATTCTGTTGCTTGAAATCTCGGCTACATTCCACCAGAAACTTCTCTAATGAATGAACACTTCTTGTTGTCAAGAAATTAGTATCTTGACCAAGTACCTTCAAATTGAAAGAAACAAACACTCAGATTTAAAGAAACAAACACTCAGATTTAAAGAAACAAACACTCAGATTTGTCAAGTTTTAGAATAATTCTTGGAAAATTCAAGATCCAGAAATTTTTACAAAGGAATTTATGGTGAGTTTGAGTTACAGCCTCATCGTACATACCTTTGTAATTTGTTTTTGTTTTTGAAGTGCTGCATTTTCTTAACTTTTCAACGGATTATTCTTAAACTTTCTAAATTTATTAATTTTAGCCCGTTTAAAGAGTTACCGGTGACCGGTACTCCGCTGACCAACATATCGCGGATTGAGAAAAGCTGACTAAACGTTCTTTAATATCATGTTGAATATTTAGTTGTTTACTTGCATCGTTCAAGGATGTTAGCGCATTATCTCTTTAATTGTAAGTGGATGCATTATTTGTTCAGTATTAATTCTGGTTATATAGATTTGGCAATAATAGGTTTTTTTTCGATCGTCAAATCACTTCTACATCGTTGTATACGAACGAAATAATAAAAACGTGGTGATGAAGCTAAATACTCCATTTCGAATGTCTGGGTTATTCGTAAAATGGGCTTTTTAAGATATATAATCACACAGTTTTTGACCTAACCCATGCAGGGTATCAGTAGTGCGCGCATAACTCAAAGCAAAACGAAATTCATATTGAATAATGCGAAAAGAAATACCTTGCACAGTTTCGCCAGGTAGCGAGAGTTCTCCGATTTTCGAGTGTTACAAACATGTGTAATGAAGAGCCTGATGGCACTAAGACGCTGCCACATTGTCCTGGAAAGAAAATCATTTGTAAGAAGGAATTTCGCCGTAAACAAAAATATACTGAAAACAATGGATGGTAAATTAAAGGGAGGGAAGTGTAAAAACATTTAAAGAATACTGAAAAAGAAATCATAAACGAGAATTACTAGTAAAAAAATAAGGGAAAACCCAAACAAAAAAAGTAAATGAGGCTCAATCTCGATAAAAAATATTGAAGTTTAATAGGCATACCAGCATTGTCTGAGAAGATCCTTTTCTTTTTCATCGTATCCACTCATATCATCACTTATCCTGGAAAACGCCTCTTTTGACGTCACTTCTTCAATACTGCTCCTTATAGCTAGTACCTTACCGCACCATCCATCCCTGCCCTCTTGACTTTGCAATTCAGAAAGTCTTGGTTCCAGCTTTTCCAGAGAGCATATCAGAGCTGCAACATCTATCGACTGGAGAAAAAATATGATTTGGCTTTGAGAATCGGATTTCTTTGTTTCTCAGTGATGAAACTGGTTACAGTACATGCCTTTATACAATACCAGCATTACGTACCATTGGTCTTTGATTAAGCAACAGTCTTGTAATGTCTGGTTCTATCTGGACCATTTGGTTGAAGTTACTAATTCTTGACTTGATTCTATTGAAGGTGACATGGATGGTTGCAATGTCGAAAATATATTTCTCACTGTCATTTTCCTTCTCTGCCGCCATCATGATAAATCGACTGACAAGCTAAAAACGAACATAAGCATTTAATATATCCAAAAACCAGCGCTCTCTAAAGCTGTTTCCATTGTTCAGAGCTATTACAAGCACTCAGCTATTTCGGTAAGCCCATCAGTTACACTTTTATCACTGAAATTTAACTGCAATTACACATTAAGATTTGAAGTATTTGATAAATATATATTTTGATTAACAAATTCACTAACTTCAATCTCTTCCCGTTCGCACTGCTTTGTAGGAAAGTAAACCATGTGTACAAAGTCGTGTAAATAACGCTCTGCTGCCTCTTCTTCTTTTCCTTCTTCCTTCACAAGGTCAAGGATATCCTTGAGTTCTGAATTCTCCAGGATACCTCGCAGTTTTTCTTCCTCTGTTCCACAAGAGCGGTCTACCAAGGAAATGATCATTCAAGTGTAAGAGCTATTAAAGGGAAAGGTTAAAAAGAAAGACTAAAGAAGTTCAAAAACTGCAAATTACTTCCTCCATTTAAAAAAAAATTAAAATCACACAAATCCATTAATGTTTCGATTTTCAAATTGATCCGTGAACTAAAGTGAGTGCTCACTTGAAACATCAGATCCACCGCGCCCAAGACCATCCACCATGTCCTTAACCAACCAAGAGAATGGAAAACAGCACTTAAAGACATGTTTTCCTCGACCTGATACATTGACATGCTCACGTATTGTGCTGGTAGAGACGTCAAAGTATTTCTCATTTAAGTGCTTGTTCTCAAAGATGTGAACCCAGAGACTACAAAACAAAACAGAAAACATGTCTTAAGAACTCATCTTTTTCATTGAGTTCTGCACTTGGTAATAGTATCAAATTTCGGCGTTTTTGTTTGTACTTTTGTATTATTTTGACGTTTTAGTAACATTCGCAAAAATTCAAACAATCGCGATTAATGTAGCGCGCGCGGTCTGCCTAAGAGAATCTAAACAGAAGAAACTGATCGATCAACGAATCAGATCACTCTATTTATCTGCGTCCAGGCTTCAATATACACGCTCATATATAAAGTAATTGTTGAGACAATAATTATATGTTATTTACACATGTCAAACATGTAACATATTAAGTGTGGTACTTCTGAATCAGAGCTTATGTTTATTCGACCTGTGAAAACCGAAACTCACCTCTTCAACCACTGATTCTCGTCAACCAGCAGATTCAGATTACAGTCCCTGTCAGCAAACGCCAAAACTTTTGCAAGAAGTGGTTCAATCTCTGACAACACCTTGTATTGGAGCGCTTTTCTGAAAGTTCCCCTTTCATGCATTCTTGTTCCAGATAATGCCTCTTTTCGGACCCAATAGCTGGCTAGCGCACCAGAACATTTTTCTTTTTTCTCTTTCAAAAGTTCAAAAAGTTTTTGATGGAGGGATTTTGCAAAAGAAGGTCCACCTGAAAAGAAATTTTAAAACAATAGTACTTAAGTGCAACATAATCATTCTCAATTGCCCGTTGACCATTTTCTTCTTGTTTCAACTGTTTGCTTATGATCTGCAAGTCTTCCTTTTTATAGAAAAATTTCATTTTGACACTTCAGCGATAAGCAAAGTTATAAAGTTAATTACACACACCTGTTATCTTGCTAGAACTTTCTGTAAGAAGATTCAAAATCAAATCAATTCGATCTGTAGTTCTTTTAGCGAGGACTGCTTCATCCTCAAGTCTCCCTGCTGCAGACTGAACACTTAGACGGACAAGGTCAATTACATCAAAGGTTTGTTTACTGGATTTCTGTGCCGTCTGCAGTTTCACAGGATCACTCGTTAATAACTCATCTTTATCGTCAATCTCCATTTCAGTATTTTCATTAGTACCTCTTATGTCCACAATACTGCCTTTAACTGAGAGGTCTTGGTCCTTTTCTATCCAGTTTGGTTTAAGAAGGTCACTGATTGGACGGTCTATCAGGAATTCAATTGGAGGAATTTGATTGGATGGTGGACGTAAGTCATCCACATGTACAGATTCCCAGTGGCCTCCTTGGAATCCTACGAAGTTCACACATCCTCCTTTAAGACGCGGTAATTGTACAATGATGATGAAATGCAGAGGACGGATATGCTCGACCTACAAGAAAAAGAACAATGTATTATTATCAGTATCAAGAGGAAGCTAAGACTATTGGTCTCGAGTTGAAAGAGAAAGACTGAACTATACCATTTGGAATGAAGCAAACCATCTGTAAATATGTCACATAAAATACACAGCTGCTAAAAATGGACGTTTACCTGAAGTTTCTCAGTTAACATTTCCTGTCGCTTGACCCGATGACCCATTAGCAAGTGCCGGGTGCAAGCTATGAGGTTGAAATTGTCATCACCAGAATCACATTGCACAAGCAGTATACCTTCGTGGTTTGCAAGCTCGATAAAGAATTCCCTGCACACAAGAAACAAACGGCAACATGATGATAATGATTATGAAAAAAGACCAATGCAAATGTGCTGATTGCTGTGTGAGGTTAGAAGCCAAAAGACATCATTATATAATAGCAGATTTATTATTTGATTATTTAATCATTCAACTATTCAGTTAATTAATCAAATTAGCGGTGTTATTATTCAATTTGTTCCGTGATTTTTAGAGTATAGTGATTCAAAATGAAGATCTCGTTTTATTATGTTTGTAGCCGGCTTATGCAACTGAAAACATCAAAGAACGTTTGTACGAAGTTATCCAGTCTATAGATTTTTTGTAGATTTTGTATAGATTTTAAAAGGATTCAACCGTGGATTCGTTATCAGGAGAAGCCTGAGACTTCTAGATAACCGTTCTGATCTTGTACGATTTTTTCTGAAAATGGGATACTGAAATGAGGTTCTGACAAACAATTGTTGTTCTTTTCTGTTTTTTGTGCTCCACAAATTTGTGGAGCTTAAATCCTTTAGCGCCTTGAAATCTTATTTGGGAAAGCTTGAGTTTCCTGAGAAAAAAATTGTTTTTCCCGAGAGTATATAAACTTGAAGCAAACACTTGTTACTTTCATCTGGCTGGGACATGAGAACAGATAAAACTATTCTGGAACCCGTTGGCCCAACCTACGCTATACATCATTCGTACAACCGGGCCATGAAAATGAAGTGATTTAACAACAGGTATTTTACGAAGGTAAGATTACAAATTTATTATTACAAATTGCATGAAATACATGTTTTTGATGATACTTTTCCAGTCAACAGGCAAGAAATATTCTGCTTACCTGACTTGTTTCAAGAACTGCTGTTCTGTCTGAAACTGTTGCAAATGCAACAGCTTTACATCGGGACGCTTAAAACCAATAGCGTCACAAATCTCAGGCAAGTCATTCTCAGACAGAAGTCGTGAATGAGTTGATACTTGTAAAAGTAAGCCATTTTGGTTGTCGACATCAGAGGATGATGACAATACTTTGCCAAGATATGCTGATAGACTTGAATGCTCCTGCTCCACAAAGTACAAATTTGTAATTTTTGCCTTTAATGCTGTCTTTGGAAGTCGTGCAATGGAGTCAGGAGTGGCAGTCTGAACTAACAAATACTGGCACCTTGCTTTCACCTAAACAATTTATCAATTGATCTGTAAATTAAGTAGCATTGTCCATCTTTTTTGTTTTTATTGGACTTTTGTCATTGATATTAGCATTAACTAAAAAAATCGATTTGATGGACAATTATTTATCACTCACCTGTTCGGCCCACTCGTCATGATTATTATGATCATAGATATTATCTTCACTGCTGACCTGGAGGACCATTGATGGCAGTGTATCACTTTGATAACCAATAAAGGCATCTGCGATTGTAAATTGTCTGCAACAAAAAGGTTTCAAAACAGCCTCTAGCAAAAACAACATAACCATCCCTTATCTAATTTCATCTATGAACGAACTAAATTGGATGATGTGTGTGAAATATTAATCACCCCTTTAAATCGCTATAAGGTGCATTTTAATTTCAAAAGCGGGGAGACCTACGTAGCACGCAGTTGATGTAATGTATTCATAAAATGTATTGTATTCCATTGTTTCTCGTTCCATTGTATTATGTGTTTTGTTATATATCTTTATGAATATATTACATCAACTGAGTGCTACGTAGGCTCTCCCTTTCAAAAGCGTCTCTATAGAGCCACATTTTGGACCAAACCCAAGGCCACTTACATGTATAGTATCACAAAATGGCTTTCTGTACCGTATTTTGGAACTTCAAAAATAGATTTGAAAAATGCCGTCTAGCCAGATTAACATTTTCATTGTTATACAAATTTCAATTATGTAATCAAATGTGAAATTTCAACGTTGAAACGTTTACTAGTTTTTTGAAATTGTACATTAATTGTAGCGCTCTATACCGGTCAATCTATCAGTTATTAATAGTGTTCAAGTATAAAACGACATACTTTTTGCCCTTTGGGGCTGAGACTCGAAAGAATCTTATAGAATATTTGCTTGATCAGTGAGTCCATATACTGCAATAATTCACTCATTCACCGATCTCAAACATATTTTAGATCGCCGTTTTATCTTTAAATGTTTCAGAGCGGCTACACTAGAATGTCAGAGATATAGAGAAAAGAATTAGCAAAACCGCACGCTACATGGCGTCGGATACTAGATAGAGATACAAATTATTGTCGATAAAATCACCGAGCTCTAATTACAATATCTATCTAAACGATTAGTTCCATCTTCCAACTATTCAAAAGCACGATCAAGATCACAAATCAAAATATCTTAGTTATTTAGCAATCAACCCTCAATCTTGTTTACTTGTTGAGTTTTTCACAACAAAAGTTATCAGACAGTCACGTCTCTGTCTCTCACATGGCCAGAAATTCCGGACATTTGAGCCCGGGACGAGTCAGCGGATTTTCCCACCACAATAGAGCTTTCTACTAGTTCCCTTGACAATGTTCATAGTGTAAATAATATTATTTGCTGGAACACACGTTTGCCTCAGGTATTTTAAACAATGATAATCAATTGTGATCTTTTGTTTATATTTGTACATTTCTAAGGAATTTAAAAGGTCTGACATTGTTTACACTAAATAGCGTAGACTTGATTGGTCTATCTTTCGTTCGTATTTCCCGCTATTTACCAGTGCGCGCAAGGCGCCAGTAAAAACCGCCAAAATTAAAGCAGTCCCAGTCTGAAAGCGACGTTTCTAAGGTTTATTTTGGTACCAAACATGGCGAATAAAATGGAAAGAAAATGGAAGATCGAGGCCAATTATTCGCGTGAAACAGGAGTCTTCGCCAGCCATTTCACCGTCAAGTTAGTGTTTTCAAATTGTGCGATTTCTAGTACCAAAAAGGACGCTGTTTATCGTCTTCAAAATAGCTGAAAATCGCTGTGTTTCTACCTCAATATGTGGACTTTGAGAAATGATCTTTGAAATATCAGTGACATGTAAAGAAACACGATCAGCTACGGTGAAATTTCGCTTCTTCGCGGATTTTCTCCATGAGATACAAGGGCAAAGGAGACTACGAAAGGAAAATAAATTTGTCAAAAAGGACGCTCTTAACAATATTGTATTTATTTGGATTTCCTACAGTGGAATCAAGAATAGTTTCCCTCTAGGAATTCATCTTGGAAAACTTTCCAGGTAAAACAGATCAAATGTTATTATAAAATAGTTGTTTTGATCCGTACATTTCTTTGTAAAATTTAACAAACATGTTTTTGTGCTCTATGCAAAGTACCGCTGCGATTGCGGGCTCATATGTCCGGATTTTCTGGCCATGTTCCGAAACAGATCGAGCTGGCAATAGCAGCATAACTCGGAGATTGTGAGAGCTCCTTTTGCAAGGAGATGTATATTTACCTTGAGAAGCTTCATGTAAGCTTAGGTTTTCCCTGACTCAACACGCACTCGAAGCGAAAACCGTTTTAAAAACTTCTTTCGATTTGTACAATTTACGCCAAAGAATAGAATTTTAACCACATTTTGTTCCTCGTAGAAGCAGTTTTATCGATTATGACACATGAAACCATTTAATTGATCTGGTGTCGCATAAAAGCTAGTAAAATAGTCATGACGTAATAGCTAATGGACACATGATCTAGTGGTAATGTCTCTGACGTTGACGCGAGAGGTCCGGAATTCGTGCCTCACCGAGGACATGAATTTATTTCGCTCTGAAAAAAATATAAACAGGTAGACCGTGGAGATGAATTTCCAGCTGGTATGAATAAATTAATAAGTCAAAAGATAGTAGTGTACCAAGGCAACGACGCAATTTACAGGAACGTGAGCGACTGAGTGAGTGACTGAGTGAGTGACAGATCGTTCTCCTACAATAACTCTTCCCCAGCTAAAAACTGAGCTAGAATATCATATAAGATATACATATGAAGTCAGTGATAAATATCAGTTTGTGACAAAAACATTGCAATATTTCGAAAACCACATTCCATTCACGTAGGTTTCACACAGCAGTTTATGTTGACAAATTCATTCGCGTTAAGCAGTGGCGTCAAGATTCGCTGCCAGCACTTACAGGCCTCCGTCTGCTGTAACGGGCCGCCGATTAATAGAGAATCAAAAATCGGCAAATTTTAACATGCTCTCTTCATCCTAAATGTACAATTCCTTATTTATGGTATTATTTATAGTATAAACTGGCAAAAACTAAAAAAAAGTATCATCGATTTCGTGGTTCCTGCACTTTAAATATTCTTTAAAAATCACTTGTATGATGTAAATAAATTGATTTGAATTGGAAACCAGCATTAGTGCATGGATCACTGATTTCTTACTCTTGACGTTCGTGGCGAAGACGACGGACTTCAACAAACTCTTGAGCCCAGTTTCTCAGTTCCTCGACAAGATGTAACTGAGATCGTTCTAGGCTCTTGGATGTGACGAGATAATGCTTTTCAAGGCGGTTGATCAGAGGAATTGGAAATTTCTTGTACACTACATCCTTCTCAGCAATAACAATCAATCTATTGCGAAGAAAAAGGGATTTTGTAGAATGTTAGCTAATAAGTCAGAACACTTCCTAATAACCACCCCCCACCACCCCCCACACAC